TAATTATTAATTCAGTTGCTAACTTCATTATTATACAAGATTATTAACTTCACCCACTCTCACAATCCTTATTTGTTTTGTACTTAATCTCCTTTTTTAATAATTTCGTACTTAATCTCCAAAATAAGATTAAGTGAGTCTTTTTAATTAATAGCATGAAAGTAATCAAATTAGTCCGGGTAACTTTTAGCCTTCATTATGCTTCCTAACAAAATTAATTAGTAACAAAGAAGTAGCCAAACAAAAACAATTATTTCAATGAAGAATTACTAAATCGTAGCATAGTGTCGGTAATTTTGTAAAAATATACCATATATAATTTGATAATCATATATTATACCATGATAGCAAAAATATATCATAATGGTAGAACGATGGTAGAAATATACCATAGTGGTAAGCTTGTTGATTTGTGGTCTAATATAGTGCTAAATTCTATTTATTGTTGTATGACGTGGAAGTCACGTCGCAGCCACTTTAGAATTATATGTTGCGTCATAGACAAAAGAGACTAATGTCTGTCAATATTAACGGTCTAGCTAAATTTCGAGTTTAATTTGTCGATTTCAAAGTGGATGTCATATTTGTTTATGTTCTTAGTTGCTATGTTGATAAATCAACAAAATAGCAAACAAAATTTTAATAAGTTGAATGATTTTTAATTGATTTAGAATCCTTGATCAATTATTATAAAGTCTCTATTTTTAAATGATTGATGTGGTTAAATCACGATTTATAAATAAACAAAGTCTCTATTTACTATTACATAACTAATAATAACATATTCATCACACTTCCCAAAACACATTTTCTTCATACTTTCCTCCATAAAACAACATTTTCCTTCCAATTTCCTTCACCTCCAAATCTCCCCTCCCCTCCTAATTTTCCTTCACCTCCCCTCCTTTTCCTCCCTTTTTTCGGAAACATAGTGTTAATCTCTTTTTTTTGGTAGTCCTTAGTCTTGAACTCTTGATAAAAGGAATTAATAATATATGTTAGCATAATTCTATTAATTACTTGTGATGATTAGATCTTATATTTTATATAATATTTAATTAAAAATAATATTATAATTGACACTCTGTTCACGCTCTGAAAATTGAATTCACAAAGAATCAACGCTTTAACGCTCTCGCTCCCGCTCTCGCTCTGCGAACTGATTATCTTTTTTTTTTTGACAAAAGATAATCTTCATTGATCAAAAAGAAAGTTACATCCTGGACAGAAGCCAGGCCTGAAAATCAAAGTAACGACTCACAGTCGGGTACAAAGAGAGGGCCTTACGAGCCACCAAATGGGCTACCCTATTGCTACGCCGACCTACAAATCTAACACTAAACCCTGAGCGACCCGCCAAGTGATGAATAATTTCAGCAAGAATAGCACCAATCCGACTATCACTAGCATCCGCCTGGTTGATTTTATCAATAATAACCTTAACATCCCCTTCCAAACACACCTCCATGATACCTCGACTCAGGCACCAGGTAACAGCTTCACGGAGCACCAGCACTTCAGCTATCAAGGGATCATCAATGCCCGGGAACTGAACCCCACCAGTCATCAGGACCTCTCTCACCGGGGACATAAGAACAATCCCCCCCGCGGCGTGGGACCCCCTTTTCGTAGCCCCATCCCACATACAAATCAGCTTATCCACCACCCCCAACACCGGTTGAGACGGAGGAGGAGAAAAAAAGAGAGACTGTCGATCCACAGGCAACCCTACCCACTCCTCAACCTGCTGATTGTATTGACGCATCAGAGCAGGGATCCCAAACTGCTTGCCCTCGAAGACTATCCAGTTCCGAGAACGCCATATCCGCCAAAGGACTGCAACAACCGCCATGAGAACGGATGGCTGGCCAATCAGGGACATTAACCGCTTCAGGAATAGGGGAAAGGTTTGCTGAGACAACCCTTCTCCCAGGGAAGAAAGCCCCGAGTAGTCCCAGAGTGCTCGAGCCACCGGGCAATGGAGGAACAAACGTTCCAACGTTTCTGACTCATCCCAGCAGACCGGACACCTAGGCAAAACCTGGACACCTCTGTCAATGAGGGCCTCCGTCGTGGGAAGAATGCGATTAAGGATTTGCCAAACAAACACCTTCAACTTGGGCGGCAGATTAGCCTCCCACAACCTGATCCAATTCGCCTTATCCATCCAGCTAACCTCAGTCCTCCACCTCCCCTTCCTTCTATCAAGGGTGACCGCCAAATGATATGCCGATTTTACTGTGAATACGCCATCCTGCGTATTATGCCAAATCAGCCTATCCTCGACCGGCAACCGCGGGAGGGGGATGACTTTAATGGCCTCACAAGTAGGGGGATCAAACCACTCACCCAATTTCCAGTCACACCACTGGCCCCCTTCCGGACAGATCACCTCTGCCACCACCGGATCCCCCCCAACAGGCAGGACCTGGGGGTTATACCGAGGAGGATCGCGCTGTAACTGAGGAATCTAGCTAGAGTGTAGCAGGGAAGCGGACCGCCCATCACCAATTTGCCATCGCAATCCGGCCTCCAATAATTGACGTCCATACAAAATGCTCTGCCACCCCCATGATGGACGAGACCGTGCCGTGGCCGAAAGAAAAGACCCATTGGGAAAATACTTCCCTTTATAAACTTGAGTCAGGACGGACTGGGGCCCTGAAGGAGGCGCCAACCAATTTTCGCCAAAAGCGCTGGATTGAAATGTTCAAAACGGCGAAACCCCATTCCTCCATCATGCTTACTCCTGCACATATTCCTCCAAGACATCCACCGAATTTTCGACTGTTCCTCCTCAACTCCCCCACCAGAACCGTGCCACATGTTTATCCAGCAGCCGACACTGTGATTGAGGCAGCCTGAAACAGGACATCACATGCAAGGGTAATGCCAAGGTGATGGACTTGATTAGGGTTTCCTTAGCCGCCCAGGATAGCGTCCTTCGTTTCCATCCTTGGAGACGGTCAAGCAATTTCTCCTCCAAGTACCGAAAAGTCTCCATCTTAGACCGCGCAATTAGCGTAGGCAAACCCAGGTACTTATCATGAACCCCTACCGCCCCTACTCCCAGAACCGCAGCCAGGAATTCTTGGTCAGGCAACACAATGTTTCTACTAAAGCACACTGCCGACTTATCCAAATTCACTCTCTGACCACTAAGCTCTTCATACTCATTCAAGACCTCGATTAAATTCTCGCATCCCCGGAGAGACCCACGCAGGAACAAGTACGAATCATCAGCAAAAAATAAATGCAAGATCCACGGGCCCCGTGGAGCAACATTGATTCCACCAAGTTTATCCTCCGAAATCGCCTTTCGAAGAAGCGCAGCAAACCCCTCAATACAAAGCACAAACAACAGCGGGGATAGAGGATCCCCCTAACCCCACGTTGCAAGTTGCCAGCTTCTTTGCTTGCTTGCTGCTGCTGGGCTGCCTCATCGAGAGCGGATCTGGTGACTAAGGGGGGGGGGGTGCTTAGTCACTTGACTAAGCCCCTCCCAGCCCTTAGATCTGGATACTTCAAATTGATGGTTAAAATGTGGGAAGGACTATTTAATTAATGACAGGGGTAGTTTGGGTATTATGGAAAATTACGAAGTATACAAACCGGATTTACAATCAGTACAAACCATACAAACATACGAACAGTACAAACTAGAGCGACAAAACATACAAACATTACAAACGTATGAACTGTACAAACAATACAAACTAGACCGACAAACAATACAAACCATACAAAAAGAAAAAACAACCGGGTTGACTTTTGAGGCTCCATCCCTATATAGAGGGGCTCCTTCCCAAAGTCAACCCGGGTGTTTTTTAGACATACAAACAGTACGAACATGGTGGACAAAAATGACAAACTAGACCGACAATCCATACGAACGGGAAAAAACACCCGGGTTGACTTTGGAGGCTCCATCCCTATATAGAGGGGCTCCTTCCCAAAGTCAACCCGGGTGTTTTTTAGACATAAAAAACATTACGAACATGGTGCACAAAAATGACAAAGTTTACAAACATGGTTAACAAAAATAACAAAGTTTACAAACATTACAAAAAAAACCGACAAACATTACAAAATAACAAAGCATACAAACATTACAAAATATGTCAACAAACATCACAAAATTAGCACTGTCGCCGGGAAATTCTTCTCCGGCGACGATGTTCGCCGGAAAAAATTTTCCGATCAGAAAATTTTCCGACCAAAAAAATTCTCTCTCTCTCTCTCTCTGGGGAATTCCAGGGAATAATGGCGGATGAGGGGGAGAAGAATTCTCTGCCCAGGAATTTCTTGGCCGGAAATTGGACGGAGACGCAGGCGACGCAAGGGACGGGGCCGACGTGGACGACGTGGACGGCTTCCTTATTTTTTTATTTCTTTTATAATTAAAAATTAAAAATAAACATGCAATTACTACATTGCACTTCATTAAATTGGATTAATAAGAGCCCTTGGATTTTAATGAGGTGCAAGAGTGAAGATTCATTTAGTCATGTGATTAAGGGGACCCGCCTTAGTCACCAGATATTAGCCCCTACCTCATCCTCGCCCTCGCCCAGGTCACCAATATTGCAGAATCCCTTGCCTTCCCACTTTGCCCGCCCTCTTTTTCGAATTTAGCTTCTACTTACTGTCACCATTAATAAATCCCCTCCATTCACATTTCCCACTCGCACCGCCCTTCATCATTCATTTCATTCCCCCCACCACCACCAATCTCAATTATCTATCACCTTCCCTGATATACAATACAGTCGCAAAATCAAGAAACACAAGTACACAACAAAACCATATATCCCTAGAAAGAAAAATACGCTTCCCAATTCCCCCCTCTCTCTCTGTGTCTTCCCTGATATACCGCCGGCGGACGCAGCCTCCCCTCGCTTTCCTCTCTCAATTCAGCCCAATTGAGAGTCACCGGAGCAAGCTCTCACCTGGGTTTCTCTCAAACTTCGCTTTGCCGTCTCCTCGGGGGAGAAAAAGAAATGGACCGCCAATCCTCCGTTGACTCATACAGCAGCAGCGGCGGCGGAAGCTATCATAACCACCACCACCACAGCAGAGATCACTACCTGAAGAATCTCAACAAGCAATCGCAGAAGATCTCCAAACCCAGTATCCCGTCTAACCCTAGAAAGCTCTCTCCTTCCCCCTTTGACCACCACCACCAGCAATCCAATCCCCCTAATCCTAATCCTAATCCTAATCCTAATCCTCCGCCGACACAGAACCAGCCCCATGTCTACAACATCAACAAGAACGATTTCCGCGACGTCGTTCAGCGCCTCACCGGATCCCCTGCCCACCACGACCGCTTTTCTTCCCCCAATCCTCCCCCTCCCGCATCCAAGCCGCCGTCTCAGGTCTCTCGATTGCAGCGGATCCGCCCTCCTCCGCTTGCCGGCCTTGCCCCCAACCGCCCGCCGATTCAGCACCACCGCCCCATGCCCCCGCAGCAGCACTACTTGCCTCCTCCGGGCCCGCCGCCACCCAACAGCTTCTTCCCGCGCCCTCCGCCTGGTCCTTTATCTCCGGTACCCCAATTCCCAGGCCCTCCAGTGGCGGAGTCCCCCGTTTCAGCTTACATGAGATATCTCCAGGACTCGATGGATCCCAACAAACAGCACTTTACCGGCTTCTCCCCTCTCGCACCTTTGGTTTCCCCTCGATGGAACAATCTGCAACAACAGGATCAACTGCATTTTGGACCACCGCCACCACCCCAGCAGCAGCACCACCACCAGGGGCTACTTCCGTCGCCGAATGCGGCTGCTGCTGCTGGTGGGGCAGCGATGATGGCTCCGCCGCAGCCATCCCCTTTCCAGCAATTCCCGCAGTCTCCTCTGTCGTTTGGGTTCTTGAATTCTCCGCGGTCTCCTTATCCTCTCTTTTCTCCTGGCACGTTTCTTTCTCCTTCGGCTTTCCCTCTTTCCCCGACCATGCCAGTGCATAGCCCAAGATGGTTGCTTTCCCCCAACCCTTTCCCTCTCTCCCCCACCATGCCCTTTCCAAGTCCTAGATGGAGAGGAATGTGACCTTGTTACTATCCAGGTAATTCTGAATTCTCATCAATCTTCTTTTATCAGACTTACTAGAGAATTAGGGTTTCATGTATATGTATATATATGAATGGAGATTCATTTGATTGCCAGTGGTTCATTCTGGACCAAAAGTGTCTGGCTCTGGCCATGTAATAGAGAGAAAATTTTTCCTTGGTTGTAAAAATTGATAGTCAAATGCCAATTTCCAAATAGGTAAAGATGCCTTAGACTTGGCCTTTCGTATTCCTTTGTGTTGTTACGTATTTCTTGTGCTTGTATTTACTACTTCGTATAGACAATTCTGTTAGAGTAATTGAAATAACAGGTGGAATTGCTTCATTCATTTCTGGTATTGGAGATTCATTTCAAGCCTTTCTCTGGCTATTGGGTTGTTTTTTCTTTGCTAAAGAGGCTTTGTTTGCTGATAATGCTAGATGTGAATCTTCCTGTACCAAGTTCATGTAAGTGCTAATGAAATTGAAAGGCCTTTCTCTTGTTTTCCCAGTTGAGTAATGCATAGGTTTTCTAGTATGTAGGTTCCTTTAGTTTTCATCTCCGGCTGCCAGACTTATTGCTCTTTGTGCTGTGGTTATTATTACTTATTGGGATAGTTTCTCGTGCGATATAATAACTTTGACTGCTGGAGTTGTTTAATTTTCTGCAAAGATTTGATAATCTTGCACTTAGACTATTTTACTTAAGTGTTCAGCGCTTTGGACTGCTGTATTTCCAGCTTTACTAATTGCTTTATGATGGACTGAGAAGAAGTTTCTGCTCTTCGTAATTCTGCCATGTGATTGTTCTCCTTTGGTTGATTGTCGACATAAATCCATATTCTCAGTGAATATCGTGATATGCTGGGGAAAATTTTGAGTATTTTGATTCTAGTTTCCAAGTGCTTTGCTTATGCCCTTCTTGCACATTCATGCAAGCTTGTACGTATCTTTTTCGCCAAAGCCCAATAAGAAACCCGAATAAAAGAAGGTTCATATTCTTAGAAATATTCATCTTAGAAACTCACAAGCTGGGTTTGAGAGTAGAGGCATTTGTTTATTACCTAGATAGAGTGTACAGTGAGAGACTATTGGAGTAATTTTCCAGGGATTTCTTAGAAGAGAGGAAGATAAGAAATTTAAGTCCGGTTGAGGGATGTAAGTGGTGATGGAGATGCCTGTGAGAGTTACCAAACTGCCATTTTCACCAAGTAACAAGTTTGGCCATTTGTTCACCTTACAACAGACTTTTTCTTAACAAGTTTTGGAGGTAGGATTGAACGGTAATTTTCTTTCTTTCTTCTTTTTACAGAATTGAACTGTAATTATGATATGTGTGGTAACCAACACAGATGAACCAGTAGCCATACTTTTACATATTTGTTCTTGCTGGGTTCTTGGTCAATGGTCATTATATTTACTGTTATATGTCATCTCCCCTCGAATCAATCTGTTAGTATTGTACAAGCTGCTGATATGGAAGACTTATAACTGAATTTAATTTAATTTAATGATATGTTTGGTCGAGGATTTGCTTATCTTCAATTTTTTGGGATTTCCATCTTATGCTTTCTGCTGGTTTGTGTGTTTTCTTCTTCCCCTGTTCTTCACGACTTCGCATTCCAATATGTAATCTTAAAAAGGTCAATTTATTGGTTAACACGTATCTGTAGCTGTGCTCTTGCAATGCAGTGGTTGGTATATCAGGTGTAAAGAACAAGTATGATAGGATTATACTAATACGCTTATGATGATGACTTGATGCTTCTTAATGATTATGTTTGGATTCGTTTGATTATTGCCCCATTTTTGGTGCCTTTCTCTCTCTGTTTGTATAAAGTGTTGACTATTAACCAAACCAATACTTGGGTTGAGAACTACTTTTCATTATTTCACGACTAGTGTACTGTACATTCGTGGAAACTGTCAAATATGTCTATGCTGTACATATTGTATGCAGTAGTATAGACTTGGAATCTTGAGTGCCCACTTATTTTTTATGTATTGTTATTTGTTATATGTATCAAGGAAGTAAGCCATTCGCAACGTGAACGAGCCATTGGGGTTTGAACATGTTGCTCTTTCGTCTGTTGCCAAGGCCTCTGCTAGTTTCTGGAAACATATGGAATTACAAAAACCAGATTTAGATGCTTCATAGCTAATTGGACAAATTTTCTATAGTCTTGGGCTCTTCGCTTCGTTTCGACTTAAATTCCTGTTTGTTTACTAAGAAGGATGTGTTTGTTTCAACATAAATGTATGTTCATTTTTTCAGGGTGATATAACTTATAAGTTTGGAAATTCCTAAGCTTCACAAGTCGCATTACGTTAAATATAATAAGCATTATGTAATGTGTGTTTATCTTACCTAATAGTTGAAAAATGTCATTACGGAAACCTTACGTAATAGATGCTCTTTTTATGTAATGAATATTAACCTTCTGTTACGTAACATATTAAATCATTACGGAAAGCTTACGTAACGCTTCTAATTTAACTATTACGTAAAAAATAACTATCGTTTCGTAAGCTTTACGAAATGTGTATTTTTACGTAACAGTTGTAAAGTGTCATTACGGAAGGCTTACGTAATGGATGATCCTTTTATGTAATGAATATTAATCAAAGTTACGTAATGTGGTAAGTCATTCCGGAAGTCTTATGTAACACTTCAAACTTAACTGTTACGCAAGAGATAACCTTCGTTTTGTAACCTTTACGTAACGAGTGTGTATTTCATGTAACAGTTGTAAAATGTAATAGGCGATTATTTTACGTAATGAATATTATTCTAGCGTTAAGGAAAATGTAAAGTCGTTACGAAAACATTCCGGGTTTCCGTAATGCTTCTAGTTTAACTGTTTACGTAAGACTAAAAAGTATTATGTAATTGTTAGGTAATAAATATTAGATTTACGCAATACGACCTGTAAAACCTGCTATAATAGGTCAAACAGTTCAATTTATAATAACTTCAAGGCATGGTAGGAGGTTCCTATAAGTTTTATTTTTGTGATTAGATATTATGGTTAATATATTTGTATGACTTGAACTTTGATCAAAATAAACATCCTTGTCAATCTTTTTGATCTATAACATCCTGACCCAAACTATACATCAAAATAACTAAATTGGCCAAACCCAACGTTTGACCGTTAACTTTGACGGTCAAACGTGTTGACTAATGATCAACGCGCCATATCACCTCCCAGTCAACATAAAAAATGTTGAAAAATTCAAAAAAGACACATAATCTCATTATTTTAATTAAGTTAAAAATAAATATAAAAAGAAAAGAAAAAACAACAAAAGAGATAAATGGTAATAGGTGGAAAAATATCAATTTTTTAAGTGTTTTGTGCTTACTGGGTGATGATGTGGCGCATTGACTGTTAGTCAACACGTTTGACCGTCCAAGTTAATGGTCAAACGTTGAGTTTGGTCAATTTAGTTATTTTGATGTATAGTTTGGGCCAGGATGTTATAGATCAAAAAGATTGGTCATGATGTTTATTTTGGTCAAAGTTCAGGCCATACAAATATATTAACCCTAGATATTATTTAAAGGATTCGAACCTGAAACTTTCAGGTTCAAGACTAATAGTATTACTACTATACTGAACTCTTGTTGGTTAAACTTAAATGTCTGTTTGTTAAGCATGTATGTTCAGTAAACTAAATTTCTCACATATAGGCCTTGCATGAGCATTGTCTTTCGTTAAGAATCTGTATTCAGTATAATTAAAACAAATAAATTAGGATTAGGATTGACAACATGCCTGCACTTAGAATTAGGATTGACTACACGCAAGCACTCAAGAATTATAGAAACATCTCAAGTACTATCAGTTGCTGAACATGAAGTTTAGTGGCACCAGTAAACTCCAGAAGAGAGTTAATTAAGTTCGCTACTGGTTGTGACTTGAGACTTGGATGTGGTTTTATAAAAGATGTTTATTTTATGCAAAAGATCCGAGTGATGTTAATCTTTTGAATTCCCATGTTTAGTTTTCTCTGATAAGATGTTTTCACTTTTATTTAATGTATTTCATATTTATTAAAGGTATTTTAGTAAAAATAGTATCTGGTTGGATTATGGTGCTTCAGAATCTAGGTGTAGAAAACCAAAGAAACTAAGAAGGGTAGCATGATGGACGAAGTCTGCAACACTTGAATCTCTTGCAGAATAGTTGCATCCATTACGTGTGACAAATCCCTTACGTCGATCATTCAGATAATCACCTGCACATCCCCACAAAAATAAATATTAGTCAAATAGTGAGTCATACCAACATAAAAAATCACGAAGAGCCAGAAGCGAGAAATGGGTCACAGATGCGTGGAGGAAAACATCCCAGGCAAAATAATTTCTCTCCCATCATTAAAATAAACAGAACCAACACACATCTCACCATGATTTGGTTGCACCATCGAAATGTACTAAGATGGAACCAGAGGGAAATCCGGCGAAGCAAATGAGGAGATTGAGCTTGTGCCATTTCTCATTTAGCCACCTGGGACTGAGAGTCATACTGGCAACACAATGTGTGTGGGAGATACTGAAGCCCATCATAAGTGGAAGTGTAGCTGGCTTTCCAAATACACCAGAAAAGGAAAACCAGTCGAGAAATTACAACTTTGGAGAGACTTGCATCAAAAAACAATATGCGCCAAGCCGCCAACCAATAGCCACATGACAATGGTGAACTTATTCCAGAAGATGACTATAACCCAACAGATCCCAAAGTTGAATAGTAGTCCTGCAAGAGTGCAAGTCATGAAACAATATCATCAATCAATTATGTATCTCTTAAAACATCTCGTATTGGAAGATAACCCTTAATAAGACTAAAGAAAAAAAATTCAACTTTGGAGGAATATGAAGAGACCAAAGGAGCTTCCAAGAACTCAAATCAAAGAGCAACGAAATAGTAGAAAAATCCCGACATAATCTGCAACAACTAAATTCTAGCCAGATTTGACAGAGTACATATCAGAGGC